CTGATACCTTCATGTTATTAACCTATTCATTTGTTACTTTTCCCTTATATTAACTACAGTAACTTCCGACACTGAGATAATGGATTTCTCCGCTTCAATGCCGGACGTTACATGTTCTTCTTTGTAACCTTGATAAATAAATAAAGCTTAAACCAAACCAAACTATGATTGAAATTACAAAATGGGAGAGACAATGACGATCTGCGTGGAGAATGGTTTTGTACATGAAAAAATTTTTTAATTCGTCGGACCGAGACGGAAATTTTTTCGATGGGCCAGTTCCAGCTAAACAGTGAATATCCTGCGCGACGGTCTCTGCTTCATACTGGACAGTTTTACACATTTTCATATCTATGGTTCTTTATCTAAACAAGAAAGCGCTTTTTTTATCAGTTTAATTCAGGAGTAGAATGAGCTGAAAAACTGAAACTTTTTGGGAATATCAGCGACACACAGACATTCATACAAAAAAAAAAATCTTTTTTTGAGCGAGTTTTTTACGTTATTTGGTGACCATATATGTGCGAATACATGACGATCTTTCAGACGTTGCTGGTCATTACAAATTCTCATCTAAATATGCTCAAAAACAGTTCTCATGGCTACTTACCGGCTTTTCCACATCTTCCACTAATAACTTCATCGTCACTACGATCTTCATCTTTTAGGAAGACTTCTGGTGAAGTTATCATGTAACAGTTCTTTGACCACAGCTGATATGTCCAAGTTAAACAATCTTTTAACAATTGGCATTGATCACGACATACTTCTGGTTTTTGAACATTTTCTTTTCTATGCTGTTTACCCTTATACATAAATTCAATACCGCTTTTCATTTCCCTACAATTGTTGTATTGCGTAGGAGATAAGGTAGTAGTTTTAGTGGTGGTCTTGGAGATGGTAGTACTAGCAAACGTTTTTGGCGGTGTTGGTCGAAGGGTGGTCGTTCTTATGGTTGATGATACCGATGAGACTGTAAATATGAAAGAAAAGAGGACAGATGACCAAGTGTACGAGAGAAGTTATTTAACACATTTCCAAAGTGTAGGTCATTTCTCGCTGAAATATCTAATGTTTTTACACGTTTCGAACCCGGTTTCTGCAGATGAGATTGAGCCTAGAAAACCAATTTTCGATAGTAAAAACCTTAGTTGCTTTAACGAAAAAAACAGTCTGATCTGTGCATATTAAATGAGCTGCGTGTCTAGTTCAATTTTTTTACTATCCTGTAAGGTTTAAGTTTACATAACTATTAGCGATGGATTTCCGCTATCGCACACATGCTTTTTCAGAAGTCGGTCAAAATTCACCCGATAGTGGAAAAATATGATATGCACCGCTCTTCTACGTTTTCTTTTTTTTGTGCTTGTTAACTAAAACACCTAGATATTTGCCTTATTCTACAATCGACGAAAATAGTTTCGAGCCTGAGAAACCCCTTTTACGCTAGTCCCTTTAGAAGACTTACATTAATAACAGTTTATTTTTTTCATGCAAGATCTCCGGTTTAAAATTTCAATATCTGCTTTCATCCATTATTTCTTCGTTCTGAGTACAGACAATTGGAATATATGTCGTACAACATAATGCGACAAACAACCAAAAACCCAGTAAAAAAAAGATGAAAATCAGTTTTGCTCTCAACTAGATTCGAAGCTGGGACGCTGCGCACAGACACACACATTTTAGGAAATAAGACCGTCACTTATAGTCAAGGGAATAAACTGCCAGCAGCTCGATTTTCATTATCTTCTCGTCAACCTTCGAATTCAATTTTTACGTAGGCGACTTTTTTGATAGTTTCAGGCTCACTAACACGTCGAATATCTCAAAATTTGTACCTTTAATATGCACTACTATTACTGCTTCATCCGATCATAGAAGCGTCTTAGAAAAAAAACTACTTTCTGATCATTTTCTGACGATTCACAGCTTGTTTTAATACAAAAAATAGAACGTTCTTTTAGATATCGATTTGTTCGATTATGCTGCTAACCAACACCGGTACATATCTACTTCACTGGCTATGTAACGGGTGGCGCATAAAGAACCGGACTCGTTTGTTTTGCCTATATTGTTCTGCCTACATAGTTTTAGGAAATAAGGCCGTCAGTTTATATCTTGTCGATCCAATTTTTTCTCCAAAAGATCCCCCATTCCATTCTCTACAAAACCGTGTACTCGTTTTTTTCAGATTCTTCAACGAAAAACTTCTTAATCATGAAAAGTAAAGACCTCCAAAAATTGGTACTTTCCAAGCATCAAAATGGAGAAACACCCAGCAAGATATTTCGGGATTTGAAGGGTGCCATTAGTCGTACTCAGGTTTTTCAATGGTGCAAAATGATCGCCGAGACTGGCTCTATTGAACTGTCAACGTCTCCAGGTCGACCTCGTATTATTCGAACAAAAAATACGATTCAAAAAGTTAAAAATAGTTTAAAGCGGAAGAAACGCGTCTCAACTCGAAAACTGGCCAGTGAACTTAAGATTTCAAGAAGTGCGCAGAGAATTTTGAAAAATGATTTAGGATTAACGTCGTACAAGAAAAGAATCGAACCACTACTCACAGACACTCAAAAAGCTAAACGAACCACGTTTGCAAATTGGGTTCGTCACAATTTTTCGAAAGAACAATCTATGAGAATTCTTTTTTCTGACGAGAAAATGTTTGATCTCAATGGTATGTACAACTGTCAAAACGATCAAGTCTGGGCTGTGAATCATGTTGAAGCTGATAAGAATGGCGGCGTTGAACAAAAACAGCAATTTCCACAAAAAGTCATGGTTTCGTTAGGCATTTCCTCAGAAGGCGCAACTCCTTTGGTTATTTTGGATAATGGCACAGTAAATTGTCAACGATATATCGATGAAGTACTTCCTGTGGCTCTAAAGTATGGAAATAGCGTGTTTGGAGATGATTGGATGTTCCAGCAAAACACTGCCAAGCCTCATATTCACCAACTTTCTCAAAAATAGTGCAATGATCATTTTCCTGGACTTATTGACAAAGATCATTGGCCCCCGAATTCTCCCGACTTGAACCCTTTAGACTACTCTATCTGCGACGAATTTGTTCACCAAGTGGAACAAAGTTCAGTCAAAGACAACGTTAATTGCAGAGTTGAAGCGAGCTGTGAAACGAATTAGAAAAGAAGTTGTACTGGAAAGTTGTGAGAGTTGGACCAAGACATTGTATCGTTTGAAAGAAAATAACGGAGATTATTTACATTAATAAAAGAACAGCACTTGATAGAGAACTGAATGGGGAATCTTTTGGAAAAAAATTGGATCCATAGAGTGAAAACCGCCGGAGTTATAGGCAAAACAAAACAGTCCCGTTCTTTATGCGCCACCCGTTAAATAACTTTTTCTATAGAGCGTTAAATTCAAGAACAAAATGTACTATTTCATTTACGTTTGCTTATTTCAATGAAAACTTCCTACCTGTAACACTGGAATCATCACAATATATTTTATAAACTTCGATGTCTTTAAGCTGCAAATTAGATGATCCTGTGAACAATAATTTGCCTATGCCTGTTGTATCTTCATATGTGCTTGGAAAACTAGTATATGATCCTGAATCAGTTTTATTTGCCATTGAATAAATACCGATATCATATCCGTATCCAAAAAGTGGACCGTAACTAGAGCTATGGTAAACAGCATAGCCAGTCTGATCCTTTTTAGGTGAAAATTTTGTTGGTTCTTTGTCATCTGGATTTGTTAATGTAAATAAAAATGCTTTTGTATCGTTCTTATAACCTGACTCAATACTCCACGATCGACTTGTAAATCCACCAAATAAATAGTCACCAATTTTCGCTTGTAGAACAGTCATTGTTGGTCCTTTATCATCACAAAATCGATGAAAGTTTTCTGCCGAGAAACCATCTCTTGTTCCTTTATAAATTAATTCCCATTTTTGATTTGGTTTATCATAAAATACATTTAATTTTCGTTGATGTTCACTACGTAAAAGGTTGCCACCGGTAAATAGTTGTTGCTGGTTAACAGTAACATCAGTTTTCGTACCTAAAATACATTTTTAAAAAAGAAAAAGGTAAAAAGGAAACTAATAATTTATCTGGAATGGTAGTGTTGGCTTCTTTTAGAAGAAAACTGTACTGTGTGTTTCAAAGCTGCTAGAAGGCGAGGCCAGAAACTTCTTCATCCAGCGCGACATATTTCTCAACAAAACTACAGTTATGTCGAACTGATGGGAAACTATAAAACAATCCATGTTTTACCTTGGGTTTTCAAACAATATGCGTTAGTCCTTTTTCTATAGAGCGTTAAATTCAAGAACAAAATGTACTATTTCATTTCCGTTTGCTTATTTCCAATAAAAAGAGGTATATTTCTAACCGATTTATTATTTTTCGATATCTTAATTACTCTGCATCGTAGCACTTTGAACTCGTGCGACCAGTGTTTTTAATAGGAATTTTAAGCAAAGTGGGTTTCCACAGTTTACCCCTGCATTTTTCGTGTTTTACCTGCTAAAAACAAAGTGGAAATCGAATTTTCAAAGTGGAAACCCATTTTGTTCAAGCGAGACCCACTAATCATTAAAAACACTGCGTGCCACGCTCATAGCTT